CAATGAGTACCCACTTGGACCTGGTGAAGGACTCCCTGTATCAGAGTGTACAGCCTAAACAGTGCTTGAAGGCTTTCTTGAAGGAAGGCAACAGGCTATTCACCTTGGGGAATTGTGCATGCCACATGTCACTTACTAAAGACAGAATGTGCGGACTGCAGGTGACATGAACTGTGTTGGGCAACATTCCTTGGAGCACATCAGAGAAAGCCTTGCATATGTACATGCCATACAGAAATGCTGAGATCTTGTTACATTCTAAGCCATAGCTTACAATTGATTTCACTATAGCCTGAGACATGGTAGAAACATTGATAGATGTGAGGTGGACCAACTGTTTGAAAAACAGACAGATTCTAGTCAGTCCAGCTCACAGGTCCAAATAAAATGTGTGATGCTTAGTTATCTTAAGGTTCAGTGGCTTCATCAGCCACAATACAGAAGGATTCATACTCTGCCAATGCAGACTTTGTGGAGTGTACATACAAAGCAATCACTGCAGGGGCATAGTCTTGGTGAATGAAGCTTGTTCGTACACAGAAAACTGCCAGGACTTGGTATGTTTTGGTCCAGGTAGTCTCTGAACTTTGGGTGATCAACAGGGATCTGGGTTTTCTGTTCACCATGGTAAAACACGGTAAAATGCAGATTTTCTCATTTTAAGGAGAAAAACATAAGAAATGCTGGGTTTCCTGTTGCAGGCTGGCACAGTTCCTTACAAAGGGTCACAGAGGAAATGTGTGGTAGTGCAGAGCACTGAACTTAACTTTCTTTAGTAACTTCCTTTAGTAGGGGTACATGAACCCCTGGATCAAATGTTTCAGTTCTTGTTGGCTCAGTTCATGGGTAAAAAGAATCTGTTTGTAATTGAAGAAAGCAGAAAGTTTGACTGTGCTGCCATTTGAGAGCTACATTAATATCAGTTTACTAAACCCCCCTACTATGTTATAATCACTGAAGTGACTGACAGAAAACCCATTTTTATACCCACAAAATCTTTCCAGGAAACCTGTAAGAAAATCGATCAAGGTAAGGGTTTCAGTTGAACATAACTTATTTGAGATGAAACTTAGAGAAAACATATAAAATCTGGACCTGCAATTTCAGAATTCTTAGCAAATGCAAGCAAGGAGGAATTATGAGGATGACAGTGTACTAGAAGCAACCTTAGCACTATTGCCCTAGAGAAGAACTAAGCTGTTAATAGCATTATAGAAAGGATATTTAAGGGCCATGATAACATATTGATTTATCCATAACACTCTGAAGAGCTTAATAGTAAGTTAATTGTAAGGACCAGCAGCTGACAATTCTAATTGCTAATGGCAAGAAACAAACTTTTACTGGAAACGGGAATTTATGTGTTTCTACTGACTTTTCCCTTGCAGAGCCTGACCCTTCATTATCTTGTACTTGTGTTGTCATTTACAGCTTTGCAAAGGAAGTACAAAGCCTGTGTAAAATGTTTCCAGATAAGAATGGTTTGCAGAAGCCTAAGTGAAGACACAAGGTGCAAGTTAATGGGTCAAATTTCAATGACAAATTTCAATTTGGCATAACACTTATTTAAAGCTCCTTTCCTTGGATAAAGCTTACTAGAACCCCTTAAGTTTACCAGAAACATATACTAGCACTGATAAACACTAGTTTCTGTTGAGCAGTTTCTTTTAGACTTCTGAGCATCTTGCAAAGGTCCAGCCTTGCTATTTGGGTCCAGCACACTGAGTTAGGTATATTACAGCTAAGGGGTTGTTTACGCTGAGAATATGAGTAGTATTTTAAAAGCATGGTAACATGTCTGAATTATGGAAAGTGTTGGTTACGCATCAATTAGGTCCTACTGCAGAAAAAGTTGATAGTTTTAGTTGTTTGCAGGTAAACCTGACAATGTGGTGAGAATCATTTACACGCAAATGAATTACAATGTGTAAATAAACATTTTAATATGCCATTCTTTTTCTCAGTACAGCTATTAGCATAATTTTTCCAGAGATTGTGGGGATTTATTAATTTTTAAGGTGAGAACATGCACATTTTCTTATATGGGGGCAATCTCTTCAGTCCTAAGTTTGTGTAATTCTTAAAGCATGATTTGGTGCTTTAAGAACTCTCCCCATCCAGCTGGATTTGCCAGAACTAAATCAATTTGCTTACAATATCATGGATTGCTTTGCAAGGAAGCAGACTGATTTTTGAAAGTGTGAGGTTAATGAGAGGTGGCATTTGATGATTATGAAAATGTAAATTCAGTTTATTCTTTACCTTTTTCTTGCTATCTTATTTTTCAAGACATAAGTGCAGGCTGAATTCTTAAATTCATTTTATAAGGTCTCAGGATTGGTGAAGGCATTTAATAATAAATATTGCCCAACTGTCTACAAAGACCACACTATTTCAGCTGGCAGGTTGGAGATGGTAGCCTGTAAACTTCTTAAAATCTTTACTAAAGCAAAACTGTCATATGGGATGAAAGATGAACAGTCCTATGGACTTAAGTGGCTTTAAGAATTGCCACAGAACTCCTATAGGAAATCAGAAAGTTGCATTTAGCTCCTGGTGACTTAAGCAATGTAGAGGCATTATGTTTCTGTTGAGAAAATCACCACTCTCCCAGCAGAAATTAGGAATGTATAAGCATTCATTCAGTTTCTCCCAGCGGAAATGTGCTTCCTTCAGAAGATCTTTCAGATTGATACCAGCTGGTGGCGCACACAGCGATGCAAGACCTAGTAGGGACAGGCACAAGGGTTGGGAAGGCTGTTCCTGTTCCTGGCCCCACAAGCTTTAAATCCCCACCTGTTGATTTACAAGCCAGGCAGTGGAAAGGACAGGCTGTCAATTAATTGGCTCACCTAAGGGTAGGGATAGCCCAGAGAGCAGTCCTCTACTGTCCACTGTTTGGGGAGCTTGCCTGTGTAGTTGCTCAGCCAAGGAGCTGGGAAAGTGTGCAAGCTCCAGCTCCTGGAGTGTTTTTCTGGTGGTAAGGATTTATCTGAATTTCTCTTAAATTCTTCCTGCTAAAAATGAATCCCTGTCCATGACCTCAGTGATGCTGCTATAGACTAGTACTAGCTTTGGGGAAAAACCCCTTAGCTTTCCAGACCAGTCTCTCAGCAGTCACAGAGGGGTTGAATGCTTAAGTTCAGTGAGCCAAAAAGGGATGAAATGCAAAATATATTTTTCTTATTTTAGTTGATTCTGAACTATATTATCTTTGGAAATATGACTTAATTAAATAAGATCCCATCTAAAAATAAGGAAAAACAGAGGGATAATAATTTTATTAATAATTTAGCAATACAGTTTTGCATTAAATGCTGGAGGGCTTTTTCTGTCTTTAGACAAAAATAAAACCATAAAATAACATGTTTGTTGGCAATGCTATTAAGCTCAATAATGTACAATCTTAACAAAGAACTTATTTTAAAATGTCCTAACATAAGCAAAAACTTTTAAGTTGCTTTCTCAAAAGCACAAACATCTTGACAAGTGCAAAGAAAGAAGCTACTACTAAAACTTCCTGTAGCCCAAGTGAAATTTAGAATTCAATCTAAAGTAACACTTCCTGTAAAAGTACTAATGGGAAACTTAATACGATCTCCTTGGCTGACAGAGCAGAAAAGAAACTTAGAGGACTTATTCTTGCTTTTTCTTGAAAGCTTAATTGGGAGAAGAAAGGGACAAATGTTGAATATATTGATTGTGAGATCTGGTAACCTGTGAATACAGCTCAATGTATAGAACAATATGCCCTTTTTTGCTTATCTTACACTAAGTTTAATATTTGCTCTCTGATTTCCTTATTAAGGGAGAATGTTACAGCTTAAAAAGTGTCCAAATGAAATAAAGTATTCTGTTTGTGTAACCAGTGGTCATCAAACATAATCCAGTAGTCATGTCAGGGTCAAAATACATTGTACTGATGCAATCAGATTATAGCACCAGGTGGGAGGATCATTTTTCAATAGGGAAAAGAAAAACGAACTGCACTGATACTGCAGTGTGGCTCAGTGCTGAGCACAACAAATACCTGTGCATCCTTTGAAGCTTTACTCCTTTCAGTGACTAAACTAGTTGTTTAAATGCATCCATATTTCACTTATCAAGAAACCCACTATACTTAAACACTTTGAAAAAAGTATCTTTTACAGACTGAGATTAGGTTTCCCCCACTAGTTGTGGAAAGGAGACTATACTAGAAGAATAAAATATTTAATGGAAGCAGGTTGTACTGTTCAATAGATGATATATCAATAAAAGACACCTTAGAAATTCATTACAGTGCGTGTTATTATCACCATAAAGCTCCACTTATGTTTGTTATAAGGAGACTTTAACAGACCAACATACAATTTTGTGAAGAAGAAAAAAGTTAAAAATAAATCATGTCTTAGGTTAAAGGAGAGATCAGTGAAAATTCCCTTGTATTAATTAGTTCACAGACTTTTCCATACTGTGACCCCCTATGCTACAACAGAAAAAAGATGCAAGACTTTTCTCTGTAAGTTTCAGTGCTGAAACTACAGTAACTAGAAGGGAGGGTAAAGTCACCCCTTACAGACTAATGTATAGATGCATACACTTTGATAAGTAACAGAGCTCACTTCATCAGATGCTATGAAATGATTTCCAGGGTGCAGTCCAGCAGAAAGAGTGATTTAAGTACAAAGGACAGGGAAGAAGGAAGAAAAGAGGGGACAGTGCTGAGAGAGGCAAAAGTGGGTTGGAAAGAAAGACAAAGCAGTAAACCCATAGGGATCATAAAAACAAATCCAGGTAGTATGATAAGAACCCTGAGTTTCCATCTGGACTATATTTAACACAGTCCAGCCTGTGGACAATTTCTTAATCTGCAATTTTGAAGTTAACTAGAGACAAGGTAGTTATACTGTTTTAAACCCCGTGAAGTGTGTGTGTTGGGGGGGAGTAGAGAAGAAATGGTGAAAAACACTTTAAATACATATTTAATATTCTAAGATGTAATAATATTTAGCAAAAGATTTCAAAGTTATTAACAGTAGAAAAGGCAGGAGGAACACAATTGCCCCCCAAAACTAACTTTGATACCTGGAAAATACTGGAGCATATCTTTGAAAAAACTATTTCGAAGCACCTAGAGCAGGATGCTTAGGAAGGCTGGATGAGTGGTGTAGGGCCAATATACAGCACCAATCAGGCCCATGCACCCATGCGGGGCTTTTCCCCGCGCTGAGAACCAGCTCGGTCCCCGCTGCCGCTGCTCGCCTGGGACCCACGCGGCTCCAGGCTCGCCGGCTGGCGCTGAGCCACGGCAGCAGGAGCTGCTGCTTGGCGCCGAGGGAAGCGGTCCCCCCGCCGGGCAGCACGGCGCACCACAGCCTAGTGCGGCGCGGGCTCTGCGTGGGCAGCCACACCAAGCGCTGCCCGGCGGCA